CATTGTTCAATATCCAAATCGTGAATACTTTAAAGATTTTGTAGAATTCATAGATGCAAATCAACAATGTTTTTTGATGTGTAGTAATTTTTATGAATTTATTTATGGAGTTGTTTTCAAAGGAGAAGAAGAACAATTTACTAGTAAGTTGGTACATGAATTTATAATGAGACTTGTACATTGTAGCAAAAATAATGAATTTTGGGTACGTTTAGATGACCATCTTGCTAGGTTTGGCATGCAAAAATTTTGCCTCATTACTGGACTACTTTGCCATGGACCATCCATAGAAATTAATTATAATAACAATCGTTTTAGAAATTAATACTTCAGTGGCACAAAAAAAATTAGTAATAGAATGTTTTTTGAAACTTTCCACATGTGTGAAGATGAAGAAAATAAATTTAAGCTGAGATTAGTTATATTGGTTGAGTGTGTGTTGAAACTGATTTCAACACAATTGATTATAGAACTCTGGACATGGTTGAACATCTTGATAAGTTCCTTACGTATCTATGGGGCCGGATAGGATATTTCGTTTTGTTAAATTTATTGAAAGAGTCACAATTGGAAAGAATACTAAGGATGCAATAGAAACAACAAACAGAATGTAAATATGCACTACAAGGTTATCCACTTGCATTTCAGGTATTCAGTTCCTATTCTAATTAGTGACATATTATGTATATTTTTTTTTGTACTAAGAATAAATTATATACATCACATTTCTCTTTCATTACGTTGTAGTTTTGGATATATGAAGTGTTTCTACAGATTAGACAAAAGTTTGGTCACCGTAAATACAAAACGGTGCAGATTCCACGAATCTATAATTAGAGGCCTAATACTATACTGAAGGAATAGATTGTTGAGAAATTTTTGGATACTGAAGATGTATGAATTTTTTATTTTCAATATAGAATGACATTCGCATTTAATTATTAATAAGTTTAATTAAACAAATGGATTCTGATAGTTTCTTATGATTATATATCGAAGTCATTGCAGTGCTGCAGCCTACGGAAGAAGAATTACAAACACCCTAGTATATAAGTCTTTTACTACCAGCTGACAATGAACATAGTAAATCAGATGTCATTGTCGATGGACAATTAGTTAATGTAGTACAACCAATACCGAATAACATCCGTGTGCAAGAAACGACCAGTCGTGGTACATGGAGAACTTTAACTGGAGTTGGGCCTAGTTCTACTTCTGGTGCCTCCAGATATGTAATTGAAGACCAAATGGAAGAAATGTTGGGTATGTATAGGCAGCATACGATATCAGATGTGTCTAGTCTATGTGGCAACTTGAATATAGAATTTGATGAAAAATCAAGATCCCTAAACCATGCTATCCTTGAAAGCCAAAAGCAACTGTTCGAACAACATAACAAATCATTGCAAGATTACATGCAATGTGGTATGCAGTCATACATGGATAATTCTTTATCAAATATGTTTAAAACTCATATTGCCTAGGAATCGCAACAACAAGAAGCCCATTAGCAGGCAATTCTTCAAATTATTCCAACAGCAACAAGAGCACATGCAGTCTTATGTTAATACAAGTTTATGTTCTGTCAGATCTTAAATTGACGAAAAAAATGAGAATATGCTAAACAGATTATCTAACTGGGAATCCAACATGGAAGCTATTATGGGTTCCATGCAGCAGGATGTTCCTCCCCATGCAAGTCCAAATCCTACTGATCAATCGCATGAGACATCAACGCCTCAACCAACAGAAAGTGTTGACATGTGGAGAAGAGAAAGAGAAAAGAAGATGAAATACACACAGTCTTCGTCATCCACATGCCATCCCTTAGAAGACTACGACATGAAAAAGTACAAAAACATTAGAAATTGGATATCGAAAAATCAATGTGGCTAACAAATTTAACTCATTCTGAATAGTCCGAATGCTAAACATTATTATATCAATATCAAAAAATTTTCTGTTGATTTATTTGATAATAATTTAAATTATGTTATACAGTGCATATTTGGACGATGGCCGTGACAATGTCTATGGAAGAGACATGCTGAGAACTTTAATGAATCCGACGAAGGATCTGAATATTGTTGTGAGTGAAGGTTAGCAATCACAATCAATTTGATTTCATAGTTAATATGTCTAATATATGTTACATGTATTTATTTCATTAGCATATTGAGCTGGAGTTGAAGTTATTAAGGCAGCATATGAATGAAGGTTGTACTCTCGTCAATAAACAATATGCAATTTTGGACTTTCAATTTGAAGAGGAGTGTTATCAGCAAATGAGGTGGCAAATGAAATTTTGAATGGGAAACCAAAGAGGTCAACCGGATGGAACTCACCTAGAAGACTACATCAATGGTAGATTGCTTGTAGCTGGTCGTCCATGGATGGGATGCAAGTATTTATTAATTCCAAGCTCATATCTAGGCAATGAATGTTATCTTTTTTTGGTCAATATTCCTGAATGAAAATTCCACATATATGACTGCAGCAATAATGTTCACACACCAGATGCAATCAAGGTACACGCAGAAGCAACATGCACACTCGTTCAAGGATTATTGTAGTGTCCAACCCTGTCCACCAGATGAGATATAAATAAACATAGAAATGAACGAATGAAGCTGGAGATTATACCTTATCTACCATATGCGAACAATGGATGAACATTTCAACTCTTGTTATTTACTACCGTAGTTAATTTATCGTATATACTAGTTTCGACTAACGAAAAATCATTTCTTGTACAGGCCAAATTGCATAATGTTTGTATTCAAATATATAGAATGCTTCGTTCTAGGGCATCCAATAAAATCAGTTTCAGCAGAGAGGATGTCACTATACACACGAAAGATTGCGGTCGATCTTTGTCATAACAAATACTTTCTTCATCACCGATAGTGAAAATGTTGTAGTGGCTTAGCTATACTTTGCTTGTGTGACTGTTGATCATCAGTCAGTTCATGATAGCGTCGTTTGCAATATGTATTTTGCTTTATGTGGTGGTATATAACTTGTATTTTGGTTTATGTGGTGGTACGTAATATGTATTTTGGTTTACACAATGGTTTGCATATTTTGATTTATATGGTGGTATGTAATATGTTCTCGAACTGTCATTCTAGACAAATGAAATATCAAGCGTCGAGATTCACAGCTATGTAATGTCGAGAACGACATATCAAACGTCAGAAAATCGTTGAAATGTAGAGAAATCTCCTCTTTTGGTTCAAGTGTCGTTCTAGACAACCGTAATGTCAAGTGTCGAGATTAACAACTATTTAATGCCGATAATGATGTTCCAAATGTCGAGAACAGCGCCAAATGTCAAGATAAATATGATCAAACCAATTCTAATGAAGAGTGAAGGCAACCAATTGGAGTATTAACTGCAAAAATTGTAGCAAGCAGATTTATAATTACTATAGCAATTAAATTGGTATGCCAAGCACAAGTACATTCTCAACCATATTAATGTGAAAAAAAGTTATAAAATAATCACCATGAATGACTTCAACCATATTGGTTGGTGAGATATCTTCTCATGCATTCAACAGACAAGTGTTTCTCCACTATAAAAGGCTGGACTTGAACATGCATAGACAGGAATTTAACAAATTCATAGCACTAGTTAGTTTTTCCATTGATTATGTCTTCATCAACTCAACATAATCCTTTTATTGATTTACTATCACTTTCGACCTCCCCGGGTCATCCGTGGACAACCCGATCATCATAGACTCGGACTCGGACGATGAAAGCAATGCCTTTGTTCCATATGTTCGTCAACCTTCGAACCGCCATCGTAGGGTTTGCCTTCAACCCATTCCTTTTCCGAATCTAATTGACGAAATTGAACCAATTTAAGTTCATCTTGAGATCGTCCCAGTAGAGGTCCAACAGAAAGCACATCATGTGTTGTTGGATGAAAATGTTTGAGCAGTTCCCATCGAAAATGAAGATGTGATCATCATAAACTCCGACGAGGAGTATCACAGTGATATGTCCTCTTTGTCTGTGGTGGAGGATATGCAGAAGATGTAATCATCGTAAGTGAAATGTTTACGTACATACACTAGTGCTATAGAATCCATATAGGTGATGGATATTTTTTGGGGTGATCACCATTTTGTATAATAGTTGTCTGCGACATGCATTGGAGTTATGGCTTTCTTTTGTTGTAATTACCATTTTCTCTGCTCCAATGACTTAGGAGAATGAGTTATTTATGGGTTGCTTTTATATCCATTACCACATTATGTTTACAACGATTAAGAAAATCCCAATGATGAATAAGATATATGATTGTTCACTTATATGATGGACGAAATGATATCGTAATGAAATGCTCATAAGAATATATGTGATCACCATTTCCCTTGTTTGTAGTTATATCCCAAATCTGAGCTTTCTTGTTTGTATCCATTACGACATTCTAAAAGTAAGTATTGTTTGTATTTAGTGAAATGCCCATACGAATTTTTCTGTTTGTGCGCTATAAAATTTTGAACGACAAAGATAATATAAGAGAAAAATTACAAAAAATGGGATGAATCCATATAAAGGATTCAGAATGTATTACAAATTTAATTTTAAAATAAGCAATTGCAAATAAGTGCTATGAAGAGAGAACAAAGAAAGAAATAGGAAGAAGTAAAAGTCAAAAATATATTCAACAACATTCAAAACAGGAGATGAACAACTAAGATAGAAATTAAGTAATACCAAAAAATATATTCAAAACATTGATAATCCATATTATCAGGGAATTTGACGATTGGAATACATAATGTCATTCAAGTATACGTGTCACTTAAAGGTGTCGAATTCTGACATTTTTGCCTGTTATGTCCAAAACCCCCACATCGACCGCATTTTTATGTCAAAGTCGACCTTTAAGTTCTTGACCGTTGACGTTGGGTATGAGGTTGACTTGGTGCTCTAAGTATATTCAGGGGTAAAACTTCGACGGAGCGAATAAACTGAGGAACAACCTAATCTGACTCTCGGTCAACGGGGTAAAGAACTTCGTTGTACGCAGCTCGCCAACATTCGGTGGTGTAGTAAGAGGAACACAATTCATACAATGATTTTTCTTTTGCGTAAGTAGCTCGGGATGCATGTGAATATGAGATTTGTCGCATCTGAAACTCTCGACATGAACATGTGTTACCTATAAGGTTGATAGTACAAAGTTCGGTAGCTACACCTACCTTAAAAAAGAGTTCGTCCAAATTTCGTACTAATAAAGTTGCACTGGCGTTGAATGATTTTCTCAATTCATCGTCAATTTTTGGTGTCACAGTTGTACTATATTTCGTGGATGCGCTTTTTCTCTCGTAGAACCATCGTTGTATCGATGATGTAATATTTTCGACCAACGAGGTTATAGGAAAACTTTGTTGTCGCCTTAGGACTGAATTTAGTGACTCCGCAATGTTATTCGTCATAATGTTGTACCGATTACCAACAAAATTTGCCCATGACCAGGTGGATATACCTGCGCGTTCCAAGTAAGATGTCATTGATGGTCGAATGGTTCTTATCTCTGTCATTAACAGATCAAATTTCGATATGCGATATGCTGGCACTGCCCACTTGAACAAGAATATGACATTGCTACTGCTATACTTAGCAATAAGATTTTCTCGATATGCCAAATGCAGGCACTGTGGTGAGAAAGTGGGAACAACCTCATAATTGTCCGCTTAATACTCTTCTTCCTGTCCGACACAAACACTAGTTGGTTTGAATTATCAATGACATCTTTCAACTTCACAAAGAACCAATACCATGATGCATTTGTTTCCCCATCGACAACACTCCAAGCAGGAGGATACATTTGTAGGTTAGCATCTTGTGTTGCAGCTACTAGTAGTGTTTCCTTATATTGGCCCTTCAAATGACTTTCATCAACACAAATTACTAACCTCATGTACTCTCAAAAATCACGTACACTAGGCCTGAATGCTAAGAAGAAATACAAGAACCTGTTATTCGAGTCGAGTTCAATGTGTGCAATAGTTTTTGGATTTTTCTCGGTTAACATGTGACTGTATGATGGCAATTTCTGAAAACTTTCTTCGGGTGTACCACGAAGAAATCGAAGTCCCTTCTCTTTAGCCCTCCACGCTTTGTTGTAGGTAATCCGTACACCAAAATCATGTTCCATATCCCTAATAATACCCGCAGGAACCTATGATTGGTTTGCATTGTCTAACTTTCGTATTATGTGATGCCCAATTACTGCACTCGTTGCGTGAATTTGTGCATTTCATCGAATGTCTAGAGAACATGTGTGCTCAGGTATGTACTCTTGAATCTTAAATATTTATGAAGTTTTTATCTTAGAAGCTCGCACTAGTCAATGACATGTAGTATCGACATAACACACAGTAAGAGATCTAAGATTCGACTTTTTAAGCTTGAAATGAAACTTCTCTTTCAAAGCTTTAAGTTGAAGCTTTGTGTATAACTATTGCTTGCTAAAGAATATCTGATTCTTCACAATGTCCTCTTCATCAATCGACTCAATTGCATTTTGAAAAAACAAATTACCTTCACCTAAACCTTCATCCGTATTATCAATCATTCGTGGCTTTTGTAGTTCGCACACACCGACTTCGTCACGTCCACACAATGCATCTTCTATTGGTGACAAAGGCTTAATGCCGACATACAGTTCGTGCTCTCCAGCATTATATTCATCTGCAATTACACACAACGCCGCTTCTGTGTGAACAGACATAAACCATTGTAAATCCTCATCGTCGGCTACATCAGCAGGGGGTATATTCATGTTCGGAACTGTAAATTTCAATTAAATTCGGAACTTTATTCTGTCAACATTCAGCTTCTCGAATAATTTATGTACAAGCTCTTCATATGTAATATCATGTCGAACAACAATTGATGTTGTTCGATTCCCTAACCATTTCCACTCGTCGTCCATGTTGATGAATCTACCATCATACGAGACAACAAATCTCTTAACATCTCCCATATCTGCATGTCATAAACAACAATACTGTCAGCCACTAACGAAAACGAAAAACAAAAATGCTACCTGCATGCAATATGTGAAACGCTATACACGAAATTTTCTCAATTTAGTTAAGTTTTTAATGTTATTGTCAACATTTGACAGTGTCGAGAATGATAGTATAAATATCATCTCGATGTTTATAAATGTCGTGAATGACATTTATATTATCATTATCGACATTTAAAACGTGTCACGGAGAATGAAATGATGTGATTTCATGCATTTATCATCTTCTTCAACTTCAATCACCATTTTTGTAAGAATTTATTCCACCATAAATGATATTCTAAATACAGAAGTATAATATCTAACTAAGTTATTTAAGATGAATGGTACAAAAAATATATACTCAGTGTTTGGATAATTTCGTCCATTGAAGGGAAAAAATACCTTATCAAAAAATTGAGATTTGAACATATCTAACAACTACTAAATACAACTTATAAAAAAAAAAAAAGAGTTCAAAGAAATATACATTCAATCAAGAAATGATGAGAACCTAATTAACTTCAAATTTCGACGACAGTATATTTCTTCACATGAAATAAAATAATTTCTTTGAAGTTAGAATCATATACTTCTTTGTATGTGTTAATGGAATTTCTGCTTCTTCTTCATTTGTTCTAGAATAATTGATTAAAATCTAATTAAAAACGTAGGCAAGTGGACTCACTTAGGTAATAACAACATTATTGTGGCTTCTCATAGAAGCTATTTGCTCTTCTAAAAAATTGTGTCAAATTGATATAAAATTAATTAATCTTTTCATGAGGGTAAAGTAGACAATTCGATATAGAAATTGGACATTTTTGCAAGGATTATCAAAATAGGACACTTTTCAAACTCACACCCCTAAAATTGGCCATTCTTGAAAATGCCTCTTCATTTCATTAGAGATTGTATTTCCAATGAGAAGATCCATATGAAATATGTGAAGACTGATGATCAAGTGGCAGATATTTTCACAAAGCCTCTCAAAGTCAATACATTAACAAAGTTGAGAGCCTCACTTGGACTTTGCAGGAAATTATGTGTCAGAGTGGATATTGGAAATTGAATATGATTTAAAAAATTAAATGTTTCTTTTGACTACACAATTTTTTATGTTCATAAGATGCATGTATGAATCAATTCAAAGTATTAAATTTATGAGGTGAATATATTTGAGATATTCTAGAAGTCATTTGAAACCTATAAAAAGTTGTAGATTGAAGCATTTGGAATTGTTAGGAAAGTGGAAAATACACGGTAGAGTTGTAAAATAATTTGTTTTGAGATTGAGCAAAATATTATTTCCTCTTACAAGTTGTTTCATATTGAGTGGTTCTCTACCACTAGCTTTCAACAGACTTGTGTGCCTATTTCTGAAAGGTTGAAGATGTATATACTTCAAAAAATTCGATAAAACCGTGGGTACTTTTGAAATGACAAATAACCCACAGTGCAAATTTCCTGAAACATTACTATTTTGTTTTATTTACATGAAATTATAAAATTTTAAGAGTTGTGCTACATGTACATAAGCATATACATAGGGGTGTCCATAATATCATGTAGCACTCTATCATTTGTCTGTTTAAAATACAATCAACTTTTTCAACCAATATTTTTCTTCCACATCACATTATGTCATCCTTTATGTACATTTATTATGAACATTTAGCAAAATCCAAATTTTAAATAGTCAAATTCGAGTGGCCAGCCATCGTATTTGACTCGAACATGTGATGGAGGGATTAAAATTTTGAAACATCTATTATAATGACATAGTTGTACACCTGTAGATTCCTTATATAGATGGCTGCCGAGGAAATACTATAATAATGTCAACAGTATTGCTATTACGAGATTTGGAATGCTATAGGCTAAAGATATAAAAATATTCTACGTTGTCTAGTTGAATTGATATTTTTGTGCTTTCTAGATTTTCTATAAATAGCGTCTAATAATCCTATCATTTGTTGCTCTTTCAATCATATTGGCATCATATTTCCCAACACCATCAAAGAAGTAAAAAAGACATTAGAGGTGTGCTAAAAGAGAGAGAAATTTGTCATCAGAAAATTACTTCATGTTATATATTTTGCTAGCACATCACTTTTTTCCAATCCAAAAACCACAACAATAGTTATTATATATGATCAATTTAAAAAACCATAAAATCATCTGCTACACTGCTATTATTCTTATGACCATCAATATTTTCGTTAATTAATTGTGATGATTAGATATTTCGTTCTTCCATCTAATTTCTAACCTTGGGTAGTAAAGAATGTGCTCATTTGAGGATGCTTTTTTATATAGATAAGCGACTACAAGAAATAGAAATGAGTGCAGCAAAGTATTTTAGGCTCCCTTTGCTTTATTATTTGTTTAAGAAGCATTCAGCAAAATATCAATAGCCAATATATGAGCTTACTTTTAACTCTATATAACTCACACAGGATTATTTCGCAATAATGATAATGTTGAATTTTCTAACTAATAATACTAGATAATAAGTTATCTATATAACATGAACAAGATTATTTGACAATTTCATTGTTGATGCCTAGTGCCTGATATTAAGTATTTAGTACTTCATGAACGAACCAAGATGTTTTGATGCTGAATTCGTGTTTGTAAACATAATATACTCAGAGATTGAGTAACTTGAACATCTTACTCAAAGATTTTATTTTACATTTTCTCTATGAAAGATATAAATGGAACAAAAAAACAATTAAGATTTTCTGATATCAAATTATCCCTAACTTGATCCATTTAGATCTCAATGGGATCAATAAACAAAGCAATGATGTGTGGTTTGAGAACTTTTTGTGGTTGTGTATATCCATCTTCATTGCCTTTCTAATTGACATTGATAATGCGTTCAAGTTTAAGAATTCGCATTAAAATTTCTCTAGAAGAGGAAGTTGACCAAAGACACTCTTCATTGATATCCTTCCATGCATTAGTAGCCATTTCAAAAAATTTATCCGTAGCCTCTTCTTCGGTTACACCATTCTCTTTCATGTATGATTCAATTCCTGTAGCAATTTGGCCTTTTCCTTCTCAACTTTCAATAATTAATAAGCAAAAATTTAAAGGAAGCATTTAGGTAAGTGATAAAGTTACTTATTTTTGTGGGATGCGATATTGCTGTAGGGTCTTTCAATACTGAAATGTTCATTGTTCGTTGCCATTGAATTTTAGTAACGTTTAATGTGCGCTGCCATTAACTTTTTAACAACATTCATTGCATGTTGCCTTTGATTTTAGTAACATTTATTAAAAGTTGTCATTAACATTTTAAAAACATTCACTACACGTTGTCATTGATATTTTTAGCAACGTTTTGGGTGCATTGCCGTTGAATTTTTAGCAACGTTCTGTATGCGTTAATGTTGATGTTTTAGCAACATTCATTGTACGTTGTCGTTTTCTATCTATTTTTTTAAAATTACTACATGCAATATTATATTTTTATATATTACTTTACATGTATAAAATTTTTTTTACATTAGTCGTTAAATCTATTTATGCAATAAAATGAGTAATAAATTAAATGCTTGTTTGGTGGAGATTTTGATAATTGATTTTTTGATCGTTAAAGATAAAGTGGGTCCCACTCGTGAGAGAAGAATTCAAAAATGATGGCTAGAATAGTGAAATAACGATAAAAAAATTAATTTTAATTAGCTTACAAGCTGTACCAAACAAGCTCTAAGTTAAAGTAGACTTGTCTAGGAGTATATTGATGCTAAAACACACACACAACTTACGAAGAATCTAATTACTCAAATGAAAACAAAAATAATAATTAAAACCACTACCATAAATTCCTTATTTACAATAAAATAAAATATACACATGAATTTAACAATTTCGAGAATAAATAGGTATTTAAC